CTGGCCCGGCGCGGCGACTCCTCTCCGGGCTGGCGGGGGCCGGCCGCGAGCCCCGGGGCCCCGAGGCCGCAGCTCTCCAGCGCGCTGTGAGCGTTCGCAACTTGCGAGCAAAGTTTGGAGGAGGAAGCGCCAAGCCTGAGTTCTTTCTTCCTCTCTCTCTCCAAATCCGAGGGCAGCCGCGGCGTCATGCCCGCGCTCCCCCGCAGCCTGGGGTGCGTGTGAAGCCTCCGAGTCTTTGCGCCGTCCAGGATCCAAGGACCACTCTCTTTTTGGAGTCCCTCCCCGAGCTCTTCGCTTGCTCCATCCCGACCCACTCCAGGCTCTCGGACGGCGTAGATCGCGGAGGAGCGTTGCCATTCAAGGTAATCGCCGTGCCGGACTCCTCCGGGAGCTTCGCCAGCCGGGAAGGTGGGCGCCGTGGGAGCCCCGCGCGCAAGGCGCACCGTCCCTTGGGTGGAAGGCGCTGGAAATCTGGCATTGTGGGGGACTCGCTCTGTCATCTTCGGTGTAATAGGTGATGAGGGAGGTGGGTACGTGCTGGTGCTGGGCGATTGGGGAGTTCTGCCACTAGCACCCCATCCAGATGCTGACATCTGCCTGTGTCGCTGACACCCCTCCCTGTCAAACTCCAGCTGGCGCCAACCTACCAGCTGGGCGCGTTCCTTCCAGCCCACAGCGGTGTGTGGGTGTCATAGCCCAGCAGGCCGGGGCTCCGGAGGGGCATCTTTGGGTACCTCATCCCGGGCTCGGAGAGAGTCTGCCCTGTCCCATCCTGGCCCGAGGGCCCCTTTCCTGAGGAGACGCCGGGGTGGGGCAGCCGACTTCTCCCCGAGGGGGTGGCTATGGCTAAGAGTGGTACCTTTGGGGAGGCAGCGGCTCGGGTCCGGGATTTCGGTACCGAGTGCCCCTCGACCGCAGCCGCCGTCGGGAGCGCACAGCGCGCCTGGGGCTAGGGGGCGAGCTGGACCGACTTTTTCTTGTTCGCCTGCCTGTTCTGCTCTTAGCCGCTCGGAGATGTCGAAAGCACGGACGAGTTCTAACTTGCGCGCTCATTCTTTCAGGGCCCGGGCCGCGCCGGGGAACCGGCCGAGGGCGCTTCGTGGCGCTAGCTCAGACACTCGTGGCCAGGGAGGCGGGCGCAGAAGGCCAGCCCCGGGGCGATGAGTCTCCACCGCTCAGCTCGCAGCCCGCTCCCCTGCAAACTCTTCCCGAAGATCTTCTTTCCTTTCCCCAGTTCAATAAAACCTATCCTTAAAGACAAACTTACTTTCAAACTCAGGGCCCCCATTATGTGTTTGGTGTGAAACGCTATCAACATTTAAAACTCTATTGTCCCCTCCGTCCCAAATCCCTGTAAATCTTCCACCAGCCTCGACTCATTTTCATCTGAAAAGCCTGTTTAGTTTGAATAGAAAAGCAATCAGGCCCCCCTTTCCCTCTCGCTGGAATGTCAATTAAAATGCAGATTTCTCTGTGCTCTTCAGCGCCCCAAGAAGGGGGAGAAAACAGGATATTCCAGGCAAGCGAGTGAAAGAAATGCTACAAAGAAACGGGGTGGTTGTGGTGATGAGCACCCCGAACTGCTCGGATTCCAAGCGCCTCGAGGGGTTGTGGTCCTGGATCAGCTTGTAATTGAGATTTCAGTATGTTGAGGAATTTGGACCCCCAGACTTGACCTCTTGACTGCTCCCTGCCGTATTCAGCGTTGGTGAGAAGTGGGAAGGCGGGGAGCAGTGCGATGGGACTGCACATAGGGCCAGCATCTCTGACCTTGCCTCCCACGGTTGACTACTGTGATGAGAAATCTACCTGGGGACTGAGTGCTAAGTATGCAGGCTGCTGAGCCAGCAGAGGACACGGGCAGCCCCCTTAGGTAGATACCTGGTAAGGTGGGCAGTGCACTGGCACGCCTTCTTGAGGCCGGGGGTTTGAGAACGCTGTTTTGGGATGAAGAGCCCAGCACAGGCCCTGTGTGAGGACCACTCCCCAGCCAGGCTCTTTCCGTTGGTCACTTTGGAGGCAGGCTTGTGTGGAGGTGAAAATGGACTGGAGGGGCCGGTGGCCGTGAAGAGCCATCCATCAGAGGGAGGGTGACAACTCCCTTCCATAGGCTGAGAAGAGAGTTCCCTTTCAGGGGGAAAAATAAACACGCTGGGGCTTTCACTGGGGCTCAGACTCCAGGAAGGATTATGGTATTGAAGGCAGGAAGCTGGGATTGTGGCCGCCAGCAGCATGCTGGGCCTGTGTTCCCAACACTGAGCCTCGGGACCTAATTATCCTGCCTAGGAGGTCGCCCTACACTTTTGTAGTGAGGAGCTATGCAGACCTGCTGCCTTCAATCCCCACCTTCCAGAGGTCAGAGGGGAGGGAGCTGCTGCGGGGCCTGGAACTGCACGTACCGGAATTCAAGTTTCTGGTGCGAGCTCTTGGGTGAAGGGACGGTTTGATTTAGCTGAGGGTGCTATCCACTGTTCTCTGAGCTAGGGAGGCTCTGCTGGGCAGGGACAGGTGGGCAAGGTGTGGGGAGGCAGCCTGGGCCAGACCGCCTGCTAGGACATAAGCTGTGTGATATATGAAGTTGCATGAGGAAGGCAGAAAATTTCCCTGCATTGTGGAAATGCTTAGTACATTATGATAGAAAGTGTACGTACCTCCCTCCCACATGTATGCAGAATTACCTGTGGAGGCTCTTGAAGGGGAAAACAGACTTAGAGGAAAATCCTGTAAGCAGTCTGGAAAGTCAGGATGTGCGCACACGCGTGCTAAAAGGAACTGTCTTTAGGATAGAGCCCTGGTAGTGTTGAAGTCCTATGTCAAATCCATGCAAAAAGCCTAGGGTTGAGAGCTTTTTGTGAGTCTCACCTTAACCCCAGTTTTCTTTCTTTCTTTTTTTTTTTTTTTTGTATCAGGAATCAAACTCAGGACCTCTCACTTGCCAGGCAAGTGTACTGCTGAGCTATATCCCCGGCCCGCCAATTTTCATGTTCATGTGGTTCACAGAATCTGAAGCCCAAAGTTGGTGTACCTGTTCTCTTGAGTGCTTTAATCAGTTTTTCTAACATTTGTGCATTTTGACTCAACACTTAGTCACAGAGGATGCAGATGAATTTTAAGCTATCTGAATTATTTTAAGCTTCCTTGGAAAATTCTCTTTGCCTTAATCAGATGGGTGGACAGAACAGTAAGTAGAGTACCTCCTTATTGTAACTGCTACTTTGAAATTTTAGCCAGTAGATTAGCATATTGAAAGTTCCTGGGCCAATCACGTACCACAACTTACATGTCATCATCATTACTAGTACACTCCTGCCTTATTCATCAACGTTTGCATCTGCTCTGTTTTTTAACCTCCTTGATACAGGTTGAAGACATTTAGTAGGCCCTGCACTACCATTTAGTTAGGGGACAGGAGTTTAGGCATTGAGTCCCTTTTTGGATCAGCTGGTTTGAATGCATTGCAGTTCTGTTCATTCTTTGTACGTGGCTGCTTGCAAGGCGGGAGATTGAAATACACATTTACATTTGAAGGTGACTCCTGACAGGTGTAAACTGGTGGGAATTTTCTGTAGCCATCCTTGGATTCTTTTGCTTTTGCTGGTTTCCTTTCTTTCTGAGAGCTGCAGTGCATAGGCATAGCGTCTCAGCTCCAGCCCAGCTGAAATGCAGGTCTGACTGTAAGCAGCCGCCTCCACCAGAGCACTTCGGAAAGCCCAGCCAGACTGGGAGAAGTTACCAAGGCTGGTTATGCCACCGGAGCATTTTAACTTGCTTTTGTAGTTGCCCTTGAAACTAAGGTCACGTTGCTTCTGCTGTCAGAGGTCGGTAGAGGCGATAGTGGATTGAAGAGGAGCACACTTTGCTTAACTGAAGTGGCTGCACGTTTGGGTGTGGGTCTCCAAGTGACTGTTGTAAGTCTGTTTCTTAAAAAGTATGCTTTCTAAAAGCTCAGACTGACACTTTTTGTGGACCAGGCTGGGGCCTGGGGCTCCGAGGTGAGGATGGAAGGCTTTTGCTGACAATGAAAAAGAACTCTGTTGGCACATATTTAAGAGGCCGAGAAATGGTTTTAGCCCATTTGGGCTTAAGTGAGCTGGTGCTGGAGAAGAAGATTACACTGATTCACGGAATCTTTTTCTTTCAGTGGCGGCAGCAGTGGCAGCAGCAGCAAGTCCAGCAGCCAGCCCAGCCGCCACCGCAGCGCCCTGGGTCCTGAGCCCCCCGAGGGCTGAAGGCATTGTAGGCTGCAGTCCATGCTCCTAGAGGAAGTGTGCAGATGGGATTAACGTCCACATGGAGATATGGAAGAGGACCGGGGATTGGCACCGTAACCATGGTCAGCTGGGGTCGCTTCATCTGCCTGGTTGTGATCACCATGGCAACCTTGTCCCTGGCCCGGCCCTCCTTCAATTTAGTTGAGGATACCACATTAGAGCCGGAAGGTAAGTTATTTAATTTCGCTTTTAAGGTACCAAGTTTGTTTTGGGATTTGTGTGGGGGAAGTGGGACTTAACGGTAAGGCCTGTTTCGGAGTGAGCTGCCCTTGCATTATAGCACAGGGGAGAGGGGTCTCACAGCTCCCTCCCAAGATGGAGATGGCACAAAATTTCTGCTGCCAGGTGGCAAGGAGAATGATGTAGTTTGGTGGTTTCTGAGTGTGTGCTTCCCTGTGCTGGGTGAGGAGACAGCGGCAGCTCCCCTTTAGCTGATGCCCAGGAGAGCTGTGGCAGGGAGGTGCTTTGGAAAGCTGACCAGCATCTATAGCCTCCTGCAGGAGCTTTTTTGCTGGAGGAATCTTGCTTACAATGTTAAGAATTACTATTTTATGGCAAAAGGAACCACTAAGGGAAATTGCCAACATCTGAAATGCTGACGTTTTATTTTCATTGTTTAAGGAGAAGGTTCTGAAGTTCAGCAGAGGGACTTGACATATTAATACTGCTTAAAGCCACAGTAATTCATTATCCGCCAGCAGTGTGCTTCAGAGTGGCAGATTCTATTTTAAAGAGACTAGAAAGTGAATATACCAGGGAATCTCCCACATCTGTGAGAATTTCAAGTTTCGCAGTGCATGCCTGGGTGTTTTGTCGTTGGAGACTTAATTGCAAAGGCAGAAAGCCTGTTGTGAGGACTACACAAGGCTGAAATATTCAGCTGGACAAGTCTGGAACCTCTCTCCCAGGAGACAGTGTTCCCTAGCCAAGCATCTACTTGGTGCAGCATGGAAATCTGTCATCAGTAGGGAATATAGGTAGCTGAGTTATTTTTCTAGTGGTAATCCGAGAGTAAAACGGCAGATCCCAGCACTCATCGCCACTTAATGAACCTATTTGCTGAGAGCCCACCTGGTGCCTGCTGGCTTTGGGAGCCTGATGCGGTCCTGAGTAGAGTCTGGGGTCAGCTGAACTATTGTGGGAGCACATCGTGCTCACAGGGCAAAGGAGCAGCATGCTCGCCCAGAGGGCTAGGCTGGGAGAGACAGGAGGCCCAGCCTCCTTAGCCCAACCTGGACCGCCCACAAGGAGGACTGCACTCCCATCGGAGATGAGAGTCTGAGAGAGGGGGTCCAGGAAGGACCTGTGCACCCTTCACAAAAATGGATAAGGACCAAGATGTCTATCACTTGAAGCATGTGAGTGATACTGGGGAGCTTCTGGGGACAAGGAGGCAGGGTGGCTTTGTAATTACCAGCTGTGGGCACATGGAGTCCTCTACCAAGCCTCTGGAAAGGGAATCTTGCAGGGGTTCTTGTTGGAGGCTTGTATTGGTTATAACTCCAGACTCCTATAGAATGGCCTCTGTGATTTGGGCTGTGACCTCAGGAACGGTGTGATTTTCAATGGTAACGAACTTTCAAAAGGCTTAATGTGAGGGGAAAAGTTCCCGATTTCTGAGCATCATGCTGTACTTCTTTAATTTTGCTAATAATTAAAATGAATGTTTCCCTAATTACTGTTTTCCTTTGAGTCCGTGGCTCAGCACAAACTGAGGAAGCTAAGCTGCGATTTCCTACCGTATGGGCTTCAGGAATGGCCTAAGTTAGGAAAAAACTGTCGTTTTTCATTTGAATGTTTAAGGCAGCATTAGTGTGAGTTCGTATCAACATAAAGTGTAAGGTGGTCCTGGAGGATTTCTTTTCCCACATTTAATTACTGAAGGAAATTTAAAATAAGCGTGTATATGCAAGCAGAGACAGGTGGGTAGAGAAAGAGGAAGAGTGGAAAGGGAGGAAGGCCCCCGAATGGTTCTTTGTATAAGAATTTATGTCCAACAATGTGAGTATTGTTGAAAGTGGGTCTTCCTGACTAGGGGACCTGTGCATGCACTTAGGGGTCAGGGTGGGGGGCCATGAAGTCCCTGAAATTGTAGATCATACTCTATCAGTGTCCTTCTGTGCATTTTCGGGTTCATAGTTTCCATGAGGTTTCTACCTAGAGTAGTGAGATGTTAAGAAAAAAGAAAATACTTAGAGAAATGTACAAAATGCCAGCAGAGAGGAGGCCTTGGAAAAGCATAGAAGCCCCTGAACCTCAGTTTCCCCTTCCGTCACATAGGGGTTTGATAGGATGATCTTTCGTCTATGAATAGTAATAGCCTCAGATAGTATCCTTCTGACGACTACCTCAAAAAGTCATTGGGTTTCAAGAGGAGCAATTAGCACAGGGTCTGGCATCGAGGTGCCTGGTGCACGTCATTGTCATCAGTGTCTCCAGTGAACTGGGAACAAGGGTCTTCCCAGTCCCTTGGGCTGGCTGTGCCAGTTGCCAGCTGCGAAACAGATGCTTGAGAAGAAATTTGCTCTTAGATGGAGAAGGCAGTAGTGCCTGCTCTGTGTGTCCTTTCTCTGTCTGATTGGAGGCATAAGGCCAGTTATCTGTGGAGTTTTGTTTTGGTGTCAGAGGCAATTAGAATTATAGAGGAGGAAGGAGTTTTTAAGAACTGGGAGCTGCTGGGCTGGGGATTTAGCTCAGTGGCACAGCACCTGCCTGGCAAGTGCGAGGTTGTGAGTTCGATTCCCGGTACCGGAAACAAAACAAAACAAAACAAACAAACAAAAAAAGAACTGGGAGCTGCTGAAGCAGTTCTGGGTTAGGTTCCAATGATGCTGATTTAGAGCATGTGGGTGTGTCCATCTCTCTGTCCACCATGGTGAGTATAACTATAGCTTTGGTTAATGTAAGTTTAGCTTTGACCTTTTAAGCCTTATCTTAGAGGGTTTTTTGGTTTGCTAATTGGGAAGCTAAGTTTAGATAATGTCTATTGGATTACAGAAAAATGTGATTGTGAAGTTCCTGGAAGGAATCTGGACCCCAACACTAGATAATGCTTTTCTTTTGACCCTTTGAGGGAAAGGTTATGTCCAGTCGTTTGGCTTTGTACAATATTGCATCATACATAGTCATGCCATATCATGTGTCATCATAAGGCATCATATCATAAATAGCATAAATTTATCTTCTGTATACTTTCTCAAGTGGTACCAGTGGGCCTGAGTCTATTCAGTTGATCTAAGACAATTTCCAGAAGTTTTTGGCTGCTACCATTGCAGATTAAAGGTGATGATTTCCAAGTGGTCTTTCATTGTTACAGGGAACAGTTGGACGGTGTAAATGCGCTTATGGATTTGAAGCGGGGAGGTCCTCAATGCCAAGTACTGTTCTATTGATTAATATTTTCAATGTTTAGAGTATAGTCAGGCTTGATTGCAGAGAGCACTATAGTTATACTCACCAAAGCTATGGTTGTACTCACCATGGTGAACTCTTACTTTCAAATTTCCTGAAATTGTCACCTACTTTGGTTAATTAAGTCATTGTTGACATTAAGGGAATCTTTGTTTATACCAGAGCAGTAGGACCTAAAATAAAAGGACTTTTTCGAACCCCAAACCTTTAATTACTTTCCCACCCTCCACAAAGCATGATTCTAAAAAGTACCAACCTGGGGGGAAAATACATAGTTGGCGTGCTATTTTTTTTGTGTGTGTGTGTTTTTTCAGGTACCGGGAATCGAACTCATGACCTTGCGCTTGCCAAGCAGGCGCTGTGCCGCTGAGCTAAATCCCCAGCCCCGGCATGCTATTTTTTTAAGCCAGTTTTTTGGCGGTCTTCTGGGTAGAGAGTAAGTGATACTGTCCTGGACCAATCTGAGTTGGTCCAAAGTTCAATGGCAGCAGAACGGAGCATGGGATCTGCACAGAGACCTCCCTAAGTCACAGTTTTCCAGTGTGGTTTAAGGCCTTTGTCAGAAGTACTGTAAATGCCATAATATCAGCCATACGCATTTAATTGCAAGTTAGAAGAAAAGAAAAGAAAAAAGAATATATCCGCATACCAAGAGTGAATGATTTAAAATAATCTTATGTTTTGTATTATCTGCATCTTTGTTCCTCTGTATGAGTGCTAATATTTAAGAGTTGACTGTAACTTGATAGTTTAGGAACAAGAACTTGGTCAATTAAAACAAATGCAGGCTTATGCAGTTAAATACACAATGAAGTACACATTCTTTATTAGTATATAAAGTATTTCACAACTCACAGAAAAAGAGCTGTGTTTAATATTACTTCAAGAGCAAAAATTTGGCAAGGCTGGAGAATTGGTATTTGTGTAAATTTCTGTACTGGCTCCTCTTAATCTGAATTTGGGGGTACATGCATTTTGCTTGTTTTTTTTTTTTAAACCAGTTAAAACACTAAACACTTATGCAATTTCCCCTCTCCCCAGCCCATGCCTGCCACTTTTGAGCCCCTCCCCAATATCAAGGGTGAGAATTCAACTCACTAGAGCAACCCAGTATGAGATGTTTCTAATAGCAGACATAATGAATAATTGCGTGGTTATGAAGAGCGTGGAAAAGTGTTTCAACAGGAAGAGTTTGTTGAACGTTCACATTCTCAATTAATGTGTAGTCTTCCCGCCTGCAGATTGTTGTTTGTTTGGCTGTTTACTTAGCCAGGGTGATTGTTAAAAGCCTTCCAGCCCCCTTTCATCAGAGTCTGTCTTACTTTTCCATTTCCGTTTAAGCTAATTTTAGTCTTTAAGGAAGGCGTGGGAAGTGGATTTGGAGGTGCCAGTGTGTTACATAAGGTAGGAAACACAGCTGGTACAGCTTTCCATGCCACTGGTTTGATTCTCACCCGGGTGCCCTGTCTGGTAGGCAGTTCAAGCTTTATTGGGGGGGTGTGCGTGGCAGGCTATTCAACATCTAATTCAGATGGATGGAGAGGGTTGTTTGTGGCTGTGCAGAAATTTCCAGTCTGTCTGTATACCTTTCCTAGAGAGGTGACTTTAGCCTGAGATCTCATCTTATGCTTTTGTTTTATCCCAAGTGAGATTAGGCTAGGGCTCTATTTTTTCTTGCCTCTGCTATCTCTGAAGAGCTCTTGTTGCTAATCATGCCACACCCTTACCAGACTTCCTCCTCTCTGACTCTCTTTCTT